CCCTACTCTGGTCCAGGCAGGGTCTGGGCACATGGCCCAGGCAGCCAGTCACGCCCTGGCCCAGGACCTGCAGTGCTGGGTGAGTGGGAGGCCGCTGATCGGGAGGACCACGTCCCACACCTCCACGTGCCCTGGGTGTGGGCTGAGCAGACACAGACAGACACGTGGCTGGTTTGGAAGGCGAGGTGAGGCCGATCGGGCCTGCTCTGCACATTGCCCGGGCAGAGGTGAGCGAGGCCGCCGCCATCACCTTCACTTGGTCGGTGTGGTCGCAGCTTCTTTAGTGGAGGTCGCCTCAGAACTGTGCTTTGGAGGGTTTAAAGTAAGAGCAGAAAGACGGGGAGAAGACCCTGAGGGGAGCAGAGAGGCTTTTCCCTCCTCCCCCGAGCGCCCGCCAGGCGGGACGAGGGAGCCTGCTGGGCGGAGTGCTGAGGCTGGATCCAGCCTGGGCCCCAGGCTCGTGCCCCGACCCTGCACCTGCAGCCTCGTCTAGAGGGTGCTGAGCGCGCTGACATTTCGCATGCTCTTTGCTCTGACGTTTACAGTATGGACTTTTCAATCCTCTTCTGCACGAGGGAATAATTGAGCGCATTACTGGGAAAAGTTCATAAAACTAATAACAAGGGAAGGTAATAATTTTTATAACCTACTTCTGAGGACCGAAGTGTTCCCGTTGCCTGCCCAGCGGTGCTGCGGTGAGCTGCCGAGTGTTGATGCGTGTTCCTGCGCGTGCGTGTGTCTGACCCCAAGTTCCTGTGCCCGAGCACAGTGAGGCCGAACAAACATCGGAGCTTGGAGCAGAGAAAGGTTTCTTGCAAGGAGACAGATGGCTCAACCCCCAATCTTCTGAACTCCCCGAAGGGTTTCAGCAAAGTGTTTTTCAAGGCCAGGTGAGGGAGGGGAGTCGCAGGGTGTGTGATCAACGGGTGCGCAGTTCTCTGCTGGAACACTGGCTGATGGTGGGTAGCAGGGTGGGGTCACAGGGGCTAATATCATCAGTCCTCAGGCTCCAGGAGGCCTGGGGGCTGCTCGTCATCAAGTAGTTACCATCTTCCGCTTGGTGGGAATTTTCACATCTGTAAAACAACTCAGGAGTGTGCAATAGATGCTGTTTTCTGGGTGCTTCTGAGAGGAACTAGAGCAGTGGAAGGGAAGGGCCTACCCTGGGAAGGCCCCGTAGGGTCCTGCTTGGTTGCATGAGGGCTGTGGAGCCTCAGGTGTAATTGGGGTGGAGGCCCGGGCGTCAGCGGGGCCTGTGTGACGTGTGCTTCCCTCTGAATCGGGGACGAAGTTTGGAGCCCAGATCCCACGTTCCAGAGAGGAATATGAAAGAACAGAGCGGTTTCTTGGCCTCAGTCTTCTGGTGCCAGAGCTTTACAAACCCAGTGGATAGAGCAGCGAAGGCCTGGCAGAGGCTTCCTTTAGGGAGAGTGAGATTTACGACCCTGCCTGTTGGATTCCTGACACGTATTATTAGTAGTGTGAAACTGCACCTGACAGAAAGTAAAAACTTCCATCTCTTTTCTTTTCCAGTGAGCGATTCTTTTATGACGTTATATGTACGTTCTCTGGGTGCCTGTCGTATGTCAGGCATTGGGTTAGTTTATTGATACAGCTGCTGTCCCCGAGAGGCTCTGTGCTTAGGGGAGTTCAGTGTTCTCGCGAGTGGCTGCACAGAAGACCACGTGTTCCCAGCACAGCGCCTCCCCTTCGGGAGTTGATCATCTAAGGAGCAAGACGCACAGAGGTGCAGGAGGGGAGAGGTAGAAAGAAAGGCTGCTGCTGAGGTCAAAGCAAAAGGAATCTGCCCAGGCCCGGGGCGGGGGG